CAGTGCGTTTCAGCTCTGGAACCTTGGAAAATAACCGACTGGTATCAGTCAGGTGTGAGTCTGGGGACCGCTTCGAGTGTGAAGGTGGTGTCTACGGACGCCTCCACCTCGGGGTGGGGAGCGCTGCTCGAGGGCAGACCGCTAGCTGGCCTGTGGTCAGAACGGGAAAAGCTCCTTCACATAAACTGCTTGGAGATGATAGCAGTCGACAAAGCGCTATGGCGCTTTTGTCCACAGGTGACAGGCCACCACGTCTTGGTCCGGTCGGACAACATGTCAGTGGTGGCATACATAAATCGCCAGGGTGGCGTCAGGTCACGAAACCTTCACAGGCTGACGGAACGCCTCCTGGTCTGGGCTCAGCACAACCTGCTCTCACTTAGAGCAGCGCACGTGCCTGGTCACCTGAATGTGGGACCAGACAGACTGTCCAGGAACAATATTCCAGCAGGGGAGTGGTCGCTGCACCCGCAGACGGTCCAGCTGCTGTGGAAAACGTTCGGCAGAGCACAGGTGGACCTATTCGCGTCCCACGAAAACGCTCATTGCCCGAAGTTTTTCTCGAAAAGCAAGGACGCGCTGGCTCATGTTTGGCCCCGCTGCCCCCTGTATGCTTTTCCTCCTGTCTCGCTCCTGCCTCAAGTGTTGGAACGAATCAGGGAAAACGGATGCCCAGTGCTGCTCGTAGCTCCGCTCTGGACAAACCAGACGTGGTTCCCTGCCCTGATGCAGCTGACCAGCACTGCCCCATGGCCTGTACCATTGAGGACAGACCTCCACTCTCAGGCGGAGGGCTCGATTTGGCATCCTCGCCCGGAGCTGTGGTCCCTGCACGCATGGGCCATCAACGGGTACCCGCTAGCCTCCCAGAGGGAGTGTTAAACACGATCGCGCAGGCTAGAGCTCCGTCTACCAGGCGGCTCTACTCCTCGAAATGGTCTGTGTTCTCTGCGTGGTGTCAAGCCCAGAGCTTTTCACCTGTGGACTGCGGGATTTCGGAAGTGCTTTCCTTCCTTCAAGAGCTACTGGATAAGGGCAGGACCCCATCCACGCTCAAAGTATACGTGGCGGCCATAGCAATGTTTGCAAAACCGGTGTCTGGCCAGTCGCTGGGGAAGAACGACTTAGTCGTGCGTTTCCCTAGGGGAGCTCGGAGGCTAAACCCTCCTAGGCCCCCTTCAGTCCCGACGTGGGACCTTTCCACGGTCCTGGAGGCCATGAAAGGTGCCCCGTTCGAGCCAATCCAGCTGGTGGACATGAAACACCTGTCGTTCAAAACAGTGTTTCTCACGGCTCTCGCTTCAGTGAAGCGCATAGGGGACTTGCAGGCGCTTTCAGTAAGCGCGTCATGTATGGAGTTTGGGCCTAATGACTCGAAAATCGCAAGAGCAGCCAATAGGCGTGCGAGCTGTCTCGCCTGTGTCTGCTTGCTGCTGCAAAGCGTTTTACATTAATAAAAAATTAAGGATAATTTTTGGCTTCAATATCTCGTGGAAAAGAGGTTTTCCCCATAGCGTAAGCTATTACGCAGTACTCGTTCCCTCTCTAGAGAGAACCGAGGTTACGTTAGTAACCGAGTACGTTTTACATTAATAAAAAATTAAGGATAATTTTTGGCTTCAATATCTCGTGGAAAAGAGGTTTTCCCCATGGCGTAAGCTATTACGCAGCACTCGTTTCCTCTCGAGAGAGAACCGAGGTTACGTTAGTAACCGAGTACGTTTTCGCATGCATTTGATATGCAGTTCATTTGCGTGTAATACACACGCAACTAATTCTACCCAAACGTATAATACACACGAACCCCACACCACTACTAAACCTACCCTAACCAACACATGCGTATCCTATGCACGTAAAAACTCATTTTTGCGTATAAATTACACGATAAACACACTGCGTGCTATAGAGACGCATTTAGTGTGATCAGGTTGGGTTCCTTGATCTTGTTAAAAATGCAAAGGTGGCCGGGCCTTTTCTGTAGCCACTCCATCCTCTGTCCTTAAAAACATCGCCTACAACTAGTGTGTATTTCAGAACCCCGTTTGAGTTTCTATGTCGGGTTGTGTCTTCTTTTGTACAGCACTTTTGGTTCTACATTGTGGTGTTGAAAGTGCTGCTATTGCTTCATTGAATAGTAATAAGAAATGTGATGAATGAGCAAGGTCAACTTTATTTTGCCTTAACTATGAAGGTAAGCAAAGATAACATTAAGAGCAAATCCACACAAAAGAGTCTTTCCTGCATAGATTACAGGAGTTTTGACTTTCCTTCCCACTAAAAACACCATGGAAACAAATCGACTTGTTATTCTCCGTCTGAGATCAGAGTCAAACCGAGAACACACTAACCTTGGAGCAAAAGTTATTTGATATCCTAAAGAAACGTTGGGGATGGGAGAGACTCGTAGTCAACAGAATACAGATACTTTAGAAGTGGGTTGTTTATTTTACCCACAGTTCATTTGTGTAAATCATTCATTTGTGAAGAACAGAACGCAGAGTTACAAAGAGTTAGTGAAGGGTGTATGAAAGATAACAGACCGGCTCGGATATCAAAAGCGGCTGCTGGTGGGCCGCGGGACAGCAGATATAGATAATTCCAGAGTACAGCTCATCCATACAGTTTTACAAATGATCCACAGCAAAACATGCGGCTGACGCTAAATAGATTGGAACAAATCATTGGTGTGTGTGTGGCAAGAGTGGTTACAGAACAATTTGAGAATATATATATATTGATTTTATTGACCGATATGAATGCTCTCATTTTAATTAGTGCAGTCAAATCGATTAATTTTAATATATTTCATTTTAATAATAATATTATATCATATTTGTATTCAACATATATTTCAAATATTAATTACCGTTATCATACACAACATATAGTGTTTGTTGTGTTTTCAGAAACTACGATACATCAGAGAAATGCATTTTTTTTCCCATCATGGTCTTTATTGATCCTCCTGAGTACTCTGAATATTTATCCCAAATTATACTTTATTACAGTAGACTGAATATGTGTCCCAAATATTCATTTAATATTAATTATTTCTTTCTATAAAAGTGATCTAAAAATATGAAATCTAAAATTGCGTTGGCATTGTTAAATGAGAAAGTTTACAGAAATGTGCTTGAACAATATTCGACAAATCAATCATGTAAATGTATTCCCAACTTATTGAACAAAAATGAAAAGAAATTCAAAACAACACTGCAAAAAAAAGTTGCTGCCTTATATTTTTTCAAATACAGGATGTTTAAGTCATTTTAACTTAAATTACATTAAACAGACTTAAAAAAAAATTGTTGAATCTTGTATAACTTATAAAAAACATGTTTTGATTAGTTAAAGTAATGTAAAACACGTGTAGTCATAACTTATTGATTATATATTTTTTACTGTGTTTTGAGAATAAATTGTCAGTCAACATCGATGTAATTATCACAAAACGTGTTGGTCTGATAAATGTCTTTGAACTTGCATTTCAGTAAACTCTTCTTCCTGTCATTCCTACTTAAAATCCAAAGCAAAATTATGATCAGCCGAATTTAAATTTGATTCACCAAGGCGTGAATCAAATGGGATTCGGTTCTCAAATGCAGCTAACTCTCGTTCTGATAAAAATCCAGGCTGCTGTTTCGAGCTCTTCAGAAGAACCGCAGGTGACGGGACGATCCAGTTACTCCAGCAGAGCTAAAGCTGCCAGAGAAAACCTCAATACTTCAAAATGTGTTCCTAAAAATTGCAGACGGGACCTTTAAATGTCTGCGAAGGGCTGAAATCCCAGGGTTCGGTTGTGCAGTTCGGCACCACGCAGTGCGAGTAAACCCACATAACCCACACAAACACTCACTGAAAACCACCCGTTGGAAAAAAGCACATCTTCATTGGGCCGATTGTTCGACGCACCGGACATCTGTTTTGAGTTAAAGAGCCGGGGTCAGTATAAGACTGTAACCCCATGTAAATCTCCCAGACAAACACACACATTTCCCTTAGACTGATTTAACTGACCTGGAAACGACTGGGCATATGAGCCACCGAAAGTCGAAAACGCTCTGAAAATACAATTAATACCACAGAACCAGCGCAGAAATCTGACAGATTTACTGTCCTCTCCTATTGGTTAACCGCATTGCCAACTTCATTTTGACACGGAGGATAGAGTGACTGTGTTCTGGCGGTCGGTGAAGAGTTTGATTAGACATCAGCCATTTTAAGTTTGGTTCCAGCAATGATGGCAAGACCCACAAGCTTCTGTGTGTTTGTGTTGTGTGGGATGAAGTCCTGAGAGGACGGAGATTTGCACACACTTACTGACCCACTCTGAATATTTATCCCAAATTATACTTTATTACAGTAGATTTGATATTTGTCCCAAATATGAATTAAATATCATTATTTATTTCTATGAAAGTGATCTAAAAACATGAAATCTAAAATTGCGGCGGCACTGTTAAATGAGAAAGTTGCTTGAACAATATTCTATACATAAATCAAGCCAACTTATTGAACAAAAATTCAAAGAAACACTGCAATAAAAAAGTTGCTGCCATAATTTTTTAAGTACAGTCAACTTGGATGTTTAAGTCATTTCATTAAACCGAGTTGAAAAATGAGTTGAATCTGGTATAACATAAAAAAAAGTTGAAAATTGCTAAACTTATTTTGATGAGTGAAAGCAAATGTAAAACACACGTTGTCATAACTTATTGATCATATATATATATATTTTTTTTACAGTGAACAGATGAAACTTTATTAGACCATTTTACATTTTATTAGACTACTTTTGACCTCTTGTGTTTTGAGAATAAATTGTCAGTCAAAATGTATGTAATTATCACAAAACGTGTTGGTCTTTGAATTGCATTTCAGTGAACTCTTCTTCCTGTCATTCCGGCTTAAAATCCAATCCACTAGCAAAAGGTGTTGTCTGAACATCTATGGATATGGTCCAGGAATTTGGCTCAGGAAAAGAAGCGATATCTTACCCAGACAGTTGTGTCCATCGTGGGCCAAGCGGAAGCCGTCGTAACACGTGCATCTGTAGTTTCCAGGGATGTTGATGCAGTCGTGAACGCATCCTCCATTATATTCACTGGCACACTCATCGATATCTGTAGTACAAATTAAAAGATAAAGGGGTCATATAATAGAAAACCTTTTTTTTTTTTTTTTTTTTTTACATGTACTATATATACACACCAGCATTTCAGTTTTTCTTTCTACTTTTATTCAGCAAGGATGCATTCAATTGATCAAAAGTGACAGTAAAGACATTTATACTGTTACAAATGATTTATATTTCAAATAAACACTGTTCTTTTGATCTTTCTATTCATCAAAGAATCCTGAAAATAAATGCAACACAGTTTCCACAAAAATATTAAGCAGCTCAGCTGTTTTCAACAGTTGAACACTGGAGACTGGAGTAATGATGCTAAAAATTCAGCTTTGATCACAGGAATAAAATACATTTTACAATATATTACACTAAAAACTTAGAAATTTGTAAGATTTCAATGTACTTTTTATAATTTTTCTAGCATTTAATTAATAATTGCACTTAAATATTATTTAAATGCAGACGTCTTGTGCATAAGAGACTTACTAAATCATTAAATAAAATCTTACAGACCCCATATATATATATATACATTCAAGTATTATATTATATACAGTATAATATATATGAGTGACCTTTTTTCAGGATTTTTTTTAAGGCGTTCTCACTCCGAAAACTCTAGAAATGGCTGTTCATGCGTTTGTTACGTCTCGGCTAGATTACTGCAATTCTTTATTTCTTGGTATATCCAAGTCTCAAATTGCTCGTCTTCAGCAAGTTCAAAACGCTGCAGCCAGACCTCTTCATAAGTGTTGTAAATATGACCACATCTCTCCTATTCTCAGATATCTACACTGGCTGCCAGTTCACCAGAGAATAGTCTTTAAAATGATACTACTTCAAGTCTCTTTTAAAAACCTGTTTTCTTCAGTATATTGATTATTTTCCTCGGTTGGTTTTAATAATTTATATTTGAGTCTGATACTGTTTTGCTACTCCTGTTTTATGGTTACTCTTAGCTATGTTGCTCTTATTTTTGTTTTATTTGATATTATGCATGTTATATCTTCTTTTAATCTTGTTGTTTCTGTAAAGCATTTTGGTCAGCCTAGTGGCTGTTGTAAATGTGCTATATAAATTCTATATAAACTCTTTGATGAATAGAAAGTTCAAAAGATGCAAAATCCATGATGTGAATCTCCCGTTCCTCCACATCCCAAAGCTGCTCTATTGGATTGAGTTCTGGAGACTGGAGGCCGTTTGAGTTCAGTGAACTCACTATCATGTTCAAGAAACCAGTCTGAGATGATTTGAGCTTTGTGACGTGTGTTATCCTGCTGGAAGTAGAAGATGATACACTGTGGTCATAAAGGGATGGACATGGTCACCAACAATTACTCAGGTAGACTTTGACGTTTAAACAAAGCTCAATTGGTACTGAGAGACCCAAAGAGTGCCAAGAAAATATCCTCACACCATAAAACCACCAGCAGCCTGAGCCGCTGATACAAGGCAGGATGAATCCATGCTTTCATGTTGTTTACGCCAAATTCTGACCCTGTCATCTGACTATCGCAGCAGAAATAGAGACTCATCAGACCAGGCAATGTTTTTCCTATCTTCTATTGTCCAGTATTGGTGAGTCCGTGTGAATTGTAGCCTCAGCTTCTGTTCTCATCTGACAGGAGTTTCACAGGTGTGTGTCTTCTTCTCCTGGAGCTCCTCTGCTTCAAGGTTTGATGTGTTGTGTGTTCAGAGATGCTCTCCTGCTTCAAGGTTTGATGTGTTGTGTGTTCAGAGATGCTCTCCTGCTTCAAGGTTTGATGTGTTGTGTGTTCAGAGATGCTCTCCTGCTTCAAGGTTTGATGTGTTGAGTGTTCAGAGATGCTCTTCTGCTTCAAGGTTTGGTGTGTTGAGTGTTCAGAGATGCTCTTCTGCTTCAAGGTTTGGTGTGTTGAGTGTTCAGAGATGCTCTTCTGCTTCAAGGTTTGATGTGTTGTGTGTTCAGAGATGCTCTTCTGCTTCAAGGTTTGGTGTGTTGAGTGTTCAGAGATGCTCTTCTGCTTCAAGGTTTGGTGTGTTGAGTGTTCAGAGATGCTCTTCCGCTTCAAGGTTTGATGTGTTGTGTGTTCAGAGATGCTCTTCTGCTTCAAGGTTTGATGTGTTGAGTGTTCAGAGATGCTCTTCTGCTTCAAGGTTTGATGTGTTGAGTGTTCAGAGATGCTCTTCTGCTTCAAGGTTTGATGTGTTGTGTGTTCAGAGATGCTCCTCTGCTTCAAGGTTTGATGTGTTGAGTGTTCAGAGATGCTCTTCTGCTTCAAGGTTTGATGTGTTGTGTGTTCAGAGATGCTCTTCTGCTTCAAGGTTTGGTGTGTTGTGTGTTCAGAGATTCTCTTCTGCTTCAAGGTTTGGTGTGTTGTGTGTTCAGAGATGCTCTTCTGCTTCAAGGTTTGGTGTGTTGTGTGTTCAGAGATGCTCTTCTGCTTCAAGGTTTGACGTGTTGTGTGTTCAGAGATGCTCTTCTGCTTCAAGGTTTGATGTGTTGAGTGTTCAGAGATGCTCTTCTGCTTCAAGGTTTGATGTGTTGTGTGTTCAGAGATTCTCTTCTGCTTCAAGGTTTGGTGTGTTGTGTGTTCAGAGATTCTCTTCTGCTTCAAGGTTTGGTGTGTTGTGTGTTCAGAGATGCTCTTCTGCTTCAAGGTTTGGTGTGTTGTGTGTTCAGAGATGCTCTTCTGCTTCAAGGTTTGACGTGTTGTGTGTTCAGAGATGCTCTTCTGCTTCAAGGTTTGGTGTGTTGTGTGTTCAGAGATTCTCTTCTGCTTCAAGGTTTGGTGTGTTGTGTGTTCAGAGATGCTCTTCTGCTTCAAGGTTTGGTGTGTTGTGTGTTCAGAGATGCTCTTCTGCTTCAAGGTTTGACGTGTTGTGTGTTCAGAGATGCTCTTCTGCTTCAAGGTTTGATGTGTTGAGTGTTCAGAGATGCTCTTCTGCTTCAAGGTTTGATGTGTTGTGTGTTCAGAGATGCTCTTCTGCTTCAAGGTTTGATGTGTTGAGTGTTCAGAGATGCTCTTCTGCTTCAAGGTTTGATGTGTTGAGTGTTCAGAGATGCTCTTCTGCTTCAAGGTTTGGTGTGTTGAGTGTTCAGAGATGCTCTTCCGCTTCAAGGTTTGATGTGTTGTGTGTTCAGAGATGCTCTTCTGCTTCAAAGTTTGATGTGTTGTGTGTTCAGAGATGCTCATCTGCTTCAAGGTTTGATGTGTTGTGTGTTCAGAGATGCTCTTCTGCTTCAAGGTTTGGTGTGTTGAGTGTTCAGAGATGCTCTTCTGCTTCAAGGTTTGGTGTGTTGTGTGTTCAGAGATGCTCTTCTGCTTCAAGGTTTGGTGTGTTGTGTGTTCAGAGATGCTCTTCTGCTTCAAGGTTTGGTGTGTTGTGTGTTCAGAGATGCTCTTCTGCTTCAAGGTTTGGTGTGTTGTGTGTTCAGAGATGCTCTTCTGCTTCAAGGTTTGATGTGTTGTGTGTTCAGAGATGCTCTTCTGCTTCAAGGTTTGATGTGTTGTGTGTTCAGAGATGCTCTTCTGCTTCAAGGTTTGATGTGTTGAGTGTTCAGAGATGCTCTTCTGCTTCAAGGTTTGACGTGTTGTGTGTTCAGAGATGCTCTTCTGCTTCAAGGTTTGATGTGTTGTGTGTTCAGAGATGCTCTTCTGCTTCAAGGTTTGATGTGTTGTGTGTTCAGAGATGCTCTCCTGCTTCAAGGTTTGACATGTTGTGTGTTTAGAGATGCTCTTCTGCTTCAAGGTTTGATGTGTTGTGTGTTCAGAGATGCTCTTCTGCTTCAAGGTTTGATGTGTTGTGTGTTCAGAGATGCTCTTCTGCTTCAAGGTTTGATGTTTTGTGTGTTCAGATATGCTCTTCTGCTTCAAGGTTGGATGTGTTGTGTGTTCAGAGATGCTCTTCTGCTTCAAGGTTGGATGTGTTGTGTGTTCAGATATGCTCTTCTGCTTCAAGGTTGGATGTGTTGTGTGTTCAGAGATGCTCTTCTGCTTCAAGGTTGGATGTGTTGTGTGTTCAGATATGCTCTTCTGCTTCAAGGTTGGATGTGTTGTGTGTTCAGATATGCTCTTCTGCTTCAAGGTTGGATGTGTTGTGTGTTCAGAGATGCTCTTCTGCTTCAAGGTTGGATGTGTTGTGTGTTCAGATATGCTCTTCTGCTTCAAGGTTTGGTGTGTTGTGTGTTCAGAGATGCTCTTCTGCTTCAAGGTTGGATGTGTTGTGTGTTCAGAGATGCTCTTCTGCAGACATTGGTTGTAATGAGTGCTTATTTGATTTACTGTTCCCTTTCTATGAGCTGAACCAGTCTGTTCATTCTCCTCTGACATCAAACAGGCATTTTCAACAGCAGAACTGACATTCACTAGATATTTTCAGATCATTCTCTGTAAACCCCAGAGATGGTTGTGCGTGAAAATCCCATTAGATCAACAGTTTCTGAAATACTCAGACCAGCCCGTCTGGCACCAACAACCATGACACGTTCAAAGCCACTTAAATCACCTTTCTTCCTCATTCTGATGCTCAGTTTTAACCTCAGTAGATCGTCTTGATCATGTCTACATGCCTAAATGCATTGAGTTGCTGCCATGTGATTGGCTGATTAGATCTTTGCATTAACCAGCAGTTGAACAGGTATACCTAATAAAGTGGCAGTATATATATATATATGGTTACAGATTCCACCCTAGTTTACACAGAACATTTACAGAAACCAGCTTTAAAAAAAGTAATAAATTGTCACAGTTATGATGTCACAACAATAAGCTCATTAACATATGACCGTCCCCTTTTCCTATAGACACCTATTCAGTATTCAACCATTTCTGCTCTTCATGTCAATCCACATGAAGTAAAATATAAAATATGACCCCTTTAAAATCCATCTGCACCTTTAAATGGTTCCTAATTCATTATTTCGGTCAATATGAGCTTCTGTGTGCCGGTAACTGTGGCGATTATAGTGAATTATGCCTTATGTTTGTATGGCGAGAGCAGCTGAATAAACATCTCAGAGCCAGAGAGAGAAGTGGATGACTGTGTGTGTGTGTGTGTGTGTGGGGGGGGGGGGGGGGGGGGGGGGGCATCCCCACTCATTTGACGCCCAATTGAGCACTAATTACCCAGACTCCTCTGCTCTGCTTTGTAGTCGTCTGGGCTCAGTGAGTATGGAGAGGCACTCACAGCCTGGAGAACAATGCTTTATTTTTCTTTATTCCTGAATGCTTTTTATTCCACCTCCAACACAGTACAAAGTCTTTGCACTTTTCATTTTTATTTCGGTTTTGCACAAAAGCAAAACCAGCTTCACTCCATCGAACTACAAGATACTTTACCTCCACTAACGTGTCTCTGTCTGAGGCCAAGCAATCTACGGGACGAGCAATTCGGAGAAGTGGAAGAAAAAAAACATTTTGCACTATTCATTACAGGCGTATTGTTTACGGGTCGTTCGTGTCACGCTGAGATGATTGCAGATGTGGAATAAACGTTCTTTCTGTATCCAAGAAAAATAATAAATAGCCTATTAAGACTCAGATGATGGAGTATACAGTGTAGATTAAACAATGCAAAATTAACCTAAAAAAAACAGAACTGTCTGCATGGATAGGCCTGCGGAATAACCAACATTTTTAAGGTTAAAGCTGGTTTATAGTTAACATGACAATTCAAGCAGTGACAGGAGCGTCCTGCAGAGTGATATGATTTACTTCATGTAAAAAAACAAAAACTTTATGATCTTGTATAATATATTTATGTATTTTTTTGTGAATCTATTTAACTAATTCTAATACCTGCTAAGGACCAGATGACTTTTTTTTTTGAGAGCCTAAAATCCATGTCTCAAGCACACAATTATGATGTTCTTATTATAATTGTATGTCGCCTATATGACAGATTTGTGCTGCACGTTACACTTAAACGTATTTTCCTTTTTTGAAGTGATTCCAATCATATTTTAAGCAATTCAAAACCATCATGTTGAACAGTGCACATCTGAAGCGTCTCAGGTAAAGGAAATAATCCATTATTCATCGGCTTTAATATATCAGCCAAATTTAATTTTCGGGCTGATAACGATAAAAATGGACATATATCGATTGATACCACCGATATGATGGCCAATATATCGTACATCCCTATATTTTTATATTATATTATTATAGTATAAATATATATATAGCACTTAAAACTTTCTTATGATCTTAAAAAACTTATTGATCTAAAGCTTTATGCTTAAAAAGCATGATATTAGTTTTGTAGCTATATAAATTGTGCCTAAATTTAAATATAAAAAGATGTAAAGACATAAAAATCTTGCTGGTTAAGCTAGTTGGGAAGAAGTGTGACCAGCCATGCCGTTCTTTTCAACAGGCGAGTGCTGGTTTCTTAAAGCTAAGAACTGTTATTTACTCATAATAACCCACGTTATTTGTAGCGTGTAGCACATGTAGTTTTGCAATAGCTTTCAGAGGATTAGGATCCGGTTCTGGTTCTTGTCTTTTTTGTGTGTGCAGAAATTCAGCGCGTGGAGAAGTATATTTGAACAACGATGTTCATATCTCCCCGGCACACATTTGTGTTTCTACACCATATCAATGGTTTTACGCGCTTATCCCAGTTTAGTCAGGAGTGGCGTTTTAACACAGCACAAACATTACCGAACCCCTTCGCTTTCCAGTGTTTTGCCTGGGCTTAGGATGTTTGTATCCAGAAAGGATCACATTGGCTAAGTGTGTCTAAAAGCAGCATACACCTCTCCAAATACAACTGAGCTTTAAAAACTTCCCCCATAAAGGCAAACGGCCTCAAGAAAACAATATTACCAAAGATATGGCTTTATCATAGTGCAATTTAGTGCTGTTAACTCACATTGACGTGATTGGAAATGCAAACCGTTTTTTGGTGGTGGAAACAGCTCTGTGTAATTACCAGGCCAAGTCATTATCGGTAACGTGTAAGATATTTCATGCTCTATTTCACGTCCAAAGTGTAAAGAATTGAGTCTGTCATCTTTTTAATCTTGTATTTGAACACCTATTTCCCTTCCCTCAGGATAGTCTGAAAATGAACCCAAGGAACTGCAGAAATGAGACATGGAGAAGTAGACCTTGAAGTGTCTGAACACTGTATACACACACACACACACACACACACACACACACACACACACACACGCACGCACGCACAATCAGCCAAAGTGATCTTATTATAGACTACACAGCAAAAACAAACAGATTTTATGAGTAATTTTGTCTTCATTCCAAGTAAAAAATATCTCATATCCTTAAACAAGATAATTGTATTTGAGAAGCATATGATATTAAGATTCAAATTAGGTTTGTTTTTCTTTCCCCACAGCTAAATTGTTTTCTCCTGCTTTAAACCTCAAGTATGGGTAAATTTGTACTTAAAACAAGAGAAGAGTTGGTTACACTATTCTATTAACTATAATTAACTTTGCAACTACATGTCAACTAACTCTCATTAGAGTATTAGTAGACTATTAGGTTATGGTTAATAGGGATCAGGGTTTATAGGGTTAGGGTTGGTAGAAAAGGTTTCCATGTAAAATTCTTCATTTATAATTTAAGTGGTTCACAGGGTATTGTTATGCAGCTACTAAGGTGTTTTAGGTGGTTCCAAGAGCGTTGCTGTGCAGTTTTTGTTGCCAGATGTTGCTATGCAGTTGCTAAGGTGCTTTGGGTGGTTGCCAGGGCGTCGCTATGCAGTTGCTAAAGTGTTTTGAGTAGTTGCCAGGTCATTGCTATGCAATTGCTAGGGTGTTCTGGGTGGTTGCCAGGACGCTGCTATTCAGTTACTAAGGTGTTTTGGGTGGTTGCCAATGCATTGGTATGTAGTAGCTAAGGTGCTTTGAATGGTTGCCAGGAAGTTGCTATGGAGATGCTAGGGTGTTTAAGGGTCGTTGCCAGGGAGTTCCTATGGAGTTGCTAGGGGGTTCTGGGTGGTTGACAGGACGTTGCTATACATTTTCTAAGCATTATTTTTTGTGGTTGCCTGGATGTTGCTATGGTGTTTTTGGGCGGTTGCCAGTTGCCAGTCCATAGTTATGTAGTGGCTAAGGTGCTTTGATTGGTTGTCAGGGCGTTGCTATGGAGTTGCTAGGGTGTTCTGGGTGGTTGCCAGGACGTTGATATGCATTTGCTAAGAATTTTTGTGCGGTTACTAGGATGTCGCTCAAGGGTGTTGATATACAGTTGCTAAGTTGCATCGTATTGCTGTACAGCTACTAAAGTGTTTTGGTGGTTGCCAGGGTGTTGCTATGAAGTTACTAAAGTGCAGTTACTAAAGTAGTTGTAAAGTTACTTATAGTCAGCAGACTATCTGTTGATGGAGCATCAAAACAAAGTGTTATCAGATATTATGCTAACAGTCTACTAAAACTCTAATGAGAGTTAGTTGACGTATTGAATGTTCAGATATTCATGCAACTAAATATTCTGGGGGCAGGGGCTCTATGCACGGCGGTATTTCCGGTGAAGGTCTAAGGATGCTGGATTACTTCAGCCGATCGTAGAGTCCAATGCTATACCGAGAATTTATATTGGTTTTTATACTCTATTGCTATACTAAAGAAACGTTAGTCACAAAAACAGACAAAACAGACACCCCTCATTTTGTTTATGCTTCTTTGTTTATTATATTAAATAAACATAACTATATATAAAATTACATCTAAACGTATTAAAGTTTCGTTTCAAAGACGAGAGGACAGTAAATTTTGAAGACTCTGCCATAATCCCGTTTTCCTCGGTTTTCCTCCGCTTTAAATCTCCCCAACCGGAAACGCAAGAGCATCCTTGCATCAAACGCGGAAGTTATGCGTGCATATAGCCCATTCCATTTTTTTGAAAATTATCAAAAACGCTGGTGATGGCTGGTAACTTTTTTATTTATTATTCTGGCGGGGGAAAGAGTTTTTGTGCCACATTATTGTGGCAACTGAGTTCTGTCTAAAGTAAACCTCGTGATTAATTATTTTATTGCATTATTTTTTTATGATTAATTGCACTAAATTAACTTCTTAAATCAACAGCCATAAGTATATTCTCTTATGCAGTTTGATCTCAAATAAGTTGATATTGCTTTAAATCTAACTTCAAAGTGTGAAGCTTGGAAATGTTATTAATATTATTTTTTTAAAATTTTAATTAATTGAATAAATTAATTGTCACAAATAATAATGTCTATTTTTAAACGGGTTGTTTCTAAATATTAAGCTGGGATACAAGAAAGCTTTTTAACATACAGAAGAACTTCATCAGCACTGTATGCTTAATAGTTTTACTCTAAAATAAGACAAAAATACAGATCAAAAATGTTTTTGAAGTCTATTCCAAATATACAGAATCAAGTGTTGATAAGTCCTCATGTTTTTGTGTCTGTTGTGTTTCTTACCTTCGCAGTGTTTCCCATCACCTTTGTATCCTGATTTGCAGATGCATTTGTATGACTTGAGGGTGTTCTGACAGATGGCATCTATACTGCAGCTGTCCAGGGCCTCGGCGCACTCGTCCACATCTGCTGAGAGAAAAGGAAATCAAGAGGCTTAGAAGAGCTTGGGCACGCTCTATTTTGAGAAATACCGAAACATGTTTTTGCCCCGGGCAGGTACATAGAAACACTCAAGCGAAAACTTGATCCAGCATGCAAGAACAGTAATGTGACAACAAATTAATTGTACAATTCCCAAAGAAAACATGTCAGAGGTGAAGAGACAACAATCCAGCATCTCCAAACCAGACCTGAGCACAAAACCGAGCTGTTTCCCAGTTGAGACGTAATTCTGAGGACTTCAGCATCTCATATTCCTGTGACCTCTGGGATTAAAGCCAAACCCAACATTTCCCGCACAGGGATACTTCACCAGCGCTCTGGCATTTCCTGCAGTTGAGTTGGTGCTATGCATCGCTTTGACTAAACCATAACAACAAAAATACATTCTGTCCTCATCAAAGGTCAATAATGTTGTCATGGTTACCCTAACAAAAGACAGTCTTCTAATAGTCTTTTTCTTCGGAAAATATACAAATCTAATTTGAAATCTACCATGGTGGGTGGTTGGCAAGGCATTGCTTTGCAGTTGCTAAGGTGTTCTGGGTTGTTCCCAGGGTGTTGTCATGCAAGTACTAAGGTGTTTTAGGTGGTTCCAAGAGTGTTGCTCTGCAGTTTTTGTTGCCAGGGTGTTACTATGCAGTTGCTAAGGTGCTTAGGGTGGTTGCCAGGGCATCGCTATGCAGTTGCTAAGATGTTTTGTGTACTTGCCAGGACACTGCTATGCAGTTACTAAGGTGTTTTGGGTGGTTACCAATGCATTGCTATGTACAGTAGTTGCTAAGGTGCTTCGAGTAGTTGCTATGCAGTTGCTATGGTGTGCTGGGTTGTTGCCAGTGTGTTGCTATGCAGTTACTATGGTGTTTTGGGGGGATTGCCACTGCATTGCTATGTAGTAGTTAAGGTGCTTTGAATGGTTGCCAGGGAGTTGCTTGAAGTTGCTAGGGTGTTTTGAGTGGATGCCAGGGAGTTTCCAGGGTGTTCTGGGTGGTTGCCAAGACGTTGCTAAGCAGTTACTATGGTGTTTTTAGTGGTTGCCAGTACATTGCTATGCACAGTAGTTGCTAAGGTGCTTTGAGGGGTTGCCAGAGAGTTGCTATGGAGTTTCTAGGGTGTTCTGGGTGGTTGCCAGGATTTTGCTATGCATTTGCTAAGCATTTTTGTGTGGTTGCCAGGATGTTGCTATGCAATTGCTAAGCATTTTTGTGTTGTTGCAAGGGTGTTTCTATACAGTTGCTAAGTTGTTTTGGGTGGTTGCCAGCGTATTGCTGTAAAGCTACTAAAGTATGTTGGTGGTTGCCAGGGCGTTGCTATGCAGTTCCTAAAATGTTTTGGATGGTTGCAGGGCATTGCTGTCTTTCTACAGTTTCCAGGATGTTCTGTGTGATTTCTGTCTGGCCCAATTCATACAACCCTGCCATAAATCGAATTATGCAGTAAATTCTAATAGCTCTTTGGCAAATATGCATTGAACACGAGGGGGTGTTGAGCAAAATCAAACTAAACTACAAAACTGTTTGGCACTGGCTGGAAAACAAAGTGATTTCACATGGCTAGCAGTCAAATCTGTCTTTCTTCTTCTGGAGTCTATCACAATACAGTTCTGTCTCATTGCTCTTGTCTTCTGTGAATGCAGTTCACAGAAAACAGATGCCCAACAAAGCAGGAGACTGCTTATTACAGGGTTAGAGGTCCAACAATCCAGAACCAGTTTCCACAGAGTCTCCTCGAAGCTGCTGGTAAGAAACGACAACCGTTTAATTTGAATGCTTGCCGGCCAACACTAGTACTGATATCTCATCAAGCTGAAACCAACCCACTCTAGAATCCACAGATGTCTCTCACTTCTTTTAAAGAATTCATTAAAAATGAGAAAATCTCTTTGCTGAGGCTGCAGGAAAGTGGTGGATGATCCTTGTGGTGGCATAAGTCATTGAATTACTCACATGCTGTTTACAGTACAACGCTTTTCGGGGTTTAGTACAACACCCAGAGTTTGTTCAGTACTGAAGTGTCTTTACGCTGCAGAAAAAAAAGAAAACAAATTGGTCTTTTTTCTTAAGAGCCCTAATACTATAAAACATACCATTTGTCAGATCTCATGCTGAGGCCAGCGAAAATAAGGAAAATTATGCATTCAACAACATTTAAAGTCAGAAACACATTAGTCCAAATGCCCAATCATGGAGACCAGGACCTACGATCATCATCGTACGCTCATGTCGTTCCTTATGACTTTCTAATTTCCATGCAACACAAAAAGAGAAATTTAGAAGAATCCTCACAGGTTTTGTCATACAGTACAAAAACGGCTCATGTCTGTCAAGTTTTTAAAAAAGGAACAAAATACACAATAAAAGTAGGTCTATATGACTTATGCACAGTGTCAAGTCTTTTTTTTATCCATATAAGTGCTTTGTGAGTGCTAAAATAAAAACCATTATTCAAAATATTTTTTTCCCAATTCAGTTCAGTAACGACAAATGCCGGATCCGGGCCGTATCCAGATCAGATGGTGGACCTGGGCCAGGACACGACCAAAACGCATGATGTAGTCAGCCGGATCCGGGCCGTATCCACATCAGATGGAGGACCTGCGCCTAGACACGACCACAACACATGATGTAGTCAGCCGGATCCGGGCCGTATCCACATCAGATGGAGGACCTCCGCCTAGACACGACCACAACACATGATGTAGTCAGCCGGATCCGGGCCGTATCCACATCAGATGGAGGACCTCCGCCTAGACACGACCACAACGCATGATGTAGTCAGCCGGATCCGGGCCGTATTCAGATCAGATGGAGGACCTGCGACTAGACACGACCACAACGCATGATGTAGTCAGCCGGATCCGGGCCGTATCCAGATCAGATGGAGGACCTGCGCCTAGACACGACCACAACGCATGATGTAGTCAGCCGGATCCGGGCCGTATTCAGATCAGATGGAGGACCTGCGCCTAGACACAACCACAACGCATGATGTAGTCAGCCGGATCCGGGCCGTATCCAGATCAGATGGTGGACCTGGGCCTAGACACGACCACAACGCATGATGTAGTCAGCCGGATCCGGGCCGTATCCAGATCAGATGGTGGACCTGGGCCTAGACACGACCACAACGCATGATGTAGTCAGCCGGATCCGGGCCGTATCCAGATCAGATGGAGGACCTGCGCCTAGACACGACCACAACGCATGATGTAGTCAGCCGGATCCGGGCCGTATTCAGATCAGATGGAGGACCTGCGCCTAGACACGACCACAACGCATGATGTAGTCAGCCGGATCCGGGCCGTATCCAGATCAGATGGTGGACCTGGGCCTAGACACGACCACAACGCATGATGTAGTCAGCCGGATCCGGGCCGTATCCAGATCAGATGGTGGACCTGGGCCTAGACACGACCACAACGCATGATGTAGTCAGCCGGATCCGGGCCGTATCCACATCAGATGGAGGACCTGCGCCTAGACACGACCACAACACATGATGTAGTCAGCCGGATCCGGGCCGTATCCACATCAGATGGAGGACCTCCGCCTAGACACGACCACAACGCATGATGTAGTCAGCCGGATCCGGGCCGTATCCAGATCAGATGGAGGACCTGAGCCTAGACACGACCACAACACATGATGTAGTCAGCCGGATCCGGGCCGTATCCAGATCAGATGGAGGACCTCCGCCTAGACACGACCACAACACATGATGTAGTCAGCCGGATCCGGGCCGTATCCAGATCAGATGGAGGACCTACGCCTAGACCCGACCACAACGCATCCCTGAAGTGTCAGCAGAGATTGTGTCAACTAGACTCCCCTCTGTAAGGCCTCATCGACACGACAGCCATCGGCACTGATCCTCAACAAACCCGTCTCCATACCGGCATGACTCCGATCTTCAACCAGATGGAACTGGATAATATTCTGATTGTTCCAATCCAATCTGACTTCTGACCTATAATGCTGCCTGAATCATAATCATACACTGTTCGTTCGTTGGCCAGAGGAGACCTGGGGAGACCTTTTCGGCTTGCTTAGTTGGGGACATTAAATTTAGCATTAAATGTAATTTTCAACAATAATATTGATCTGCCTGCATTGACACCATTATATGAGAACTGAACTGAGCTGGACGATGACATCGATTTTCTCCAGAGCAGCTATATATATAAATTAACTAAATTAATACCTTTTTTACAACAAAAATGAACCATCACTGAACTTACTTAAGCTGGACTGTGGCGCTATTTACTTCTGGAAACAAACTTTGTTGCATTATTTTCCTGTTATCTCTGTAAAGTTGCTTTGAAACACTGTATTGTAAAAAGCGCTATATAAATAAATGTGACTTGACTTGACATGACATGCAAGAACCAATGTGTCATGATTCTGCCCTCTTGTCATTTCTTTTCTCTAGTCTTGAGGCAGGATCATGACAGACCCATGTTTTGTGTGCAAGCACATGGTCTTGTGTTTTGAGCCATGTGCTTGTGTTGTCTCGTTATGTTACCCCGCCCCCTTGTTATCCTCGTCTCGTCATTATTGTCTAGTCAGTTTCACCTGTCCTTGTCTAGTCAGCTTCACCTGTCTTTGTCATTAGTGTCTCCCTTTTTAATCCCCTTGTGTTTGCTGTCCTGGGTCGGTACATTGTCAAACATTGTGAGTTATTCTCTGTGAGTATTTTGTCTGAAACCTGTTTATTGAGAATTGTGAGTTTGTTTCCTGTCAAGTCAGAGTCTTCGTTTGTCATCGTGTCTTAGTCTACCTCCAGTCCTGTTTTGCCCCATCGTGGGTTTTGTTTTCTGTTTTGTCATCATTAAACCCCTTTTGAGTTATTTGCTGTCTGCGCATGGGTTCGTTCCTCCATCCACATGACACAATGCCATTTGGCATCAATAACATAAAATATGCCATGGAGCTTCAACACACCATTTTTTGCAATTCAACACTGAGGCA